TCCCCTCGTTTAATCGTTAACGTAGCCATTATTTTGCCGGCGTTTAAACTATCGTTCGATATGGTTACGGGGGGGAGGGGGGATAATCGCGGAGATGTTTCGACACATGGATAGTTTTGTTTCACTGGGTTTCCGTGGTTTCCGAGCAGCGGGTGTCGCGAGTTTCACTGCCATCGCTCGATGTAGGAAACCTTGACGCCTCTATCAAAAGCGGATGCCCGTTACACTCCTCTGAATATCAACAAAGTAATCGCTAAATTTTATGTGAACATGAAGTTTCTTTACGAGTGCGGAGGAAAAATTGCGCTGATAGAGCACCGACAGTCAATAAAAACATTGGACAGGCATAAACGTCCTTTTGTCATTTTTATTGTCAGAATTTGATTATCGTATTCGAAAGCTTTCTTATGATGAATAACTCGTATATTTATGCAAATCACGAGCTTCAGTTGTTAATGCACACATTAAATTTTGCAAAATTGTATGAATGCATTAGAATTGGAGACGGGGCATGATATTTTTAAGATATTGTCGTTGAAACAATGATTTCGCATATAGAATCATTTGCTACGATAAAGCAAAAACTTACTGCAATCTACTAAGCTGTACTACAACAAGCATTATTATCGTAATAAACTATATTTTTAGATAAATAAAAAGATATTAGTGGAGCGATAGAGCAAAAATGAAATGAAAGATTTTATTAAAAATTTCATATTACTGTAATGTAAAATAGTTGAATAATTGTCCACGACATTTTTTTTTTAATTTATATATAATGAGGATAAAAGTTCCTTCGCATAGTTAGTCGTTAAAGCCAATTAAGCAGAAATAGTGACAATATAATGCGTTAAGTATGAGCAAAAGTTGTCTATTTCCATTTTATTTTTTATTTAAAAACTAGAGCTACGTAATTTTGTGATTAAATTGAAATTCTTGCTTAAAAATTTTCACAATATATTTAAAGAATTGTTCACTGTTTATAAATATTTCCAAATTAATAACTATAATTGCTTTTTTTTTTGTGTGATTATTAACAAAAAACAAGATGACCTATTTCGCCAAATAGTGATTACTTATGCTTGTATTAGATCGATCGCTCCTCGTTATTTATCATTAATATAACATAAAGTTTAAATTATGTTAAAACATTGTTATGAAAAGTAATGGAAAAGAGAGACTTAGTGAAAAAATAGTCAGCGCAAGTTAGTAAAAGAAGGCGCGGAGAATGTTGAACAAGAAGAATAAAGGTAACGAGTTGCGGTGGTTTGCTCCTTAATTATTTAGATATGACAAAGTGAATATTTCTGGCATCATCGTATATTCGAACTTGATTGTTACAAAAGCAGGAGTGACAAAGTGGGAATGAGTAGTAATAAATTTGGTTTTGGTTACCGAATATATTTCACATTTTCTCTATTTTTCACCGTCTACTAATCAAAATGATAAAATTACTATTCACTAATCATTCTTTGGAATTCCATCCCATCATCTACGATATATCTGACTTACATTATCTAGCTAAAATATTAATTATATGTGCAGATTATATGCTATATATTTATTTGGATGTACGAAATGCTTTTTCTTATCTTGTATCATTTAATATTCACAGCTTGTGCATTTATTATGTTGAGCGCACTAAATTCATCAAATTTTAAAAAATGCTCAATCTCACATACGTTAGGTAATTTTAAATAAAAGTTTATAAAACTTCATCATACTTTATCTTCTCTCTCGAGTTGCGAAGAAAAATAAAAACGTGAAAATAGATTTTTCATCAACAGTAGTGTTTTTATTTACCATTAATTATTAAATACTTTCAAATTGTAATGTCGATTTCGTTTAAAATACAAAGTTAATTTAAGCATAAATCTTAATGTCTATTGTGAATATTTCTTTTAATTATGAATATGACACACCTGCCAAAATTTCAATGAAGTAAGACTTTTCGTGAAAAAATTAATCATAATTTATTCTCATTTTGCAACGATTTTGTAATTGTAATTTTTCTTAATATGCTAAATGTTCAAAAATTAAATTATTTCGGCATAATGAAATAAACAGACTATAGAATGAATTAAGCGAAATTGAAGAAATACAATTTTTGACGTATCGCGTTTTCTTAAAAAGACTTGTGCATGCAATTAATTGTATTAACAAGAAATATTATTCTTTACAGTCTTTTCCTAAAAAGGGCAAAACTATTTTTTTACAAACACAGAACACGTTATCCATATTATCCATTAAGACTGTAATTACGTGTGTTCATTTGTTTGTCAAAACAATATCATTTTTTATAAGCTCATTATTTCATATTCTAGAATTAATTTTATATATAATATTAATCGGAGCCAATTTAATAACAGTTTTTTTTTCTTTTTTGTTTTTTTGTTTTAACATATGCTAACAAATATAAAGTGGCTGAGTGCATTTATTATAAATGTAGCTTTTACATATATTAGAATATGAAATAGCATGAAAGTTATTATTATTGTTGTCTTTATATAAATACAAATACAAAATTTCAAAGCCATACAAGACGTATAAATATTAAAATATTAAAATTTCAAAGAATTATGTCTTGAAAATTCAATTTATAGTTAAAGAGTGCCAAGTAACTAAATTGAATATCTTAAAATTATTTGTTTAAAAAAATAATTTTGGATTTTCATAAATCATTGCCCATTATTGGAAAAATTAAAGCAATGGAGTTTTGAAATATTTATATAATTTTAAAAAAGAGTTATAAATACTTATAAATAACCATAAAATTCTGCGATCGATAAAGTGAACGTGAGAATTAGTTATTCCTTAATTACTCGTTATATCAATCTTGTCAAATTTATAGATTTCAAATTTATTGCAATACAGATAAATTGATATATAATGAATAATAAGATTTAAAAAAAAAAAAAAAAAGAAGAAGAATAAAAACAGAAACAAAAATTAATAATATAAATAAATTATTTATTCAAAATATAGTACAGATTAAAGTCTAAGAGCATTTTAAAAGGAAATAACGTATTCATACTTTTTTAGATAAATCTATGAAGAATAATTGAAAACCATATATGAATAAATATTTTAGAATAATAAAGATTTTTAATTAAACTACTAAAATTAAAGAAATGAAAATTATTATTATTAAATATCCAATATTAATTTGATTAAAGTACATTTTCATAAGTTTAACTGTTTTTGAAATATCTATTTTCAAAAACAATCATCACAATTCTTTTAAACACTGATTTATAAAATTTAAAAATATTTTTCTTTACTTCTTTTTTACATTATTATATATTATTCATGTGTCAGTTATTAGCTTATTTACTTATTGCAATTTATATTTTTGAAATATTGAAAATTCACAACATATACAATAAATGCTTTATTTTTTTACAAATTTTTTTTCAAATATTAAATTATAATATCAGAATATTTAAAAGAAAATGTAATGCATAAGTCAAACATTCAATTATTCAGATTTATTCTTTTTATCATTTTAATGTATTATAATTTCGGAATAAAATATTTCTTCATATAAATTGATTTTACTAAAGTAGGACAAAGATAATACGATTTTTTAAAAAGAAAAATATTTTTCAACCTTAATTCTTTATTAATACTTTAGAAGATGCGTAACACATCAGTAACTTTAATTTTTTTTTTTTTTTCTATAAATTTATTCTATAAACTTTGAAAATTAAAAAAAATTATAATATAGTAAATTTATGATGCTTTTCTCATTGATATAAACTAATTTATTTGCAATAAAAATTATATTCTACCTACACGAAAGTTGTCTTAATTAAAAAATTGCTTTGTTATCTCAGTAGCTTTTTATCTCGAATCTATGATATAATTAATTCTTTTGGCTAAACAGTAGGTTAGTCGGATGCCTTTTCTCATAAAAAATGGGAAAATTAAAAATTATACCTTATTCTTGTAGAAAATATAATCAAACTTTAGAAAAGTTCTGCGATAAATATAATATAGGCGTTATTATGCATGAATGGAACGTTTCTTGCTTTTTAAATATTAGACAGTAAATATTAAAAATAATCACATTAATTAAAAAATGTTATATTACGAGGGTGTAGGTAGGTTATTTTCTATAACCAAATAAAATAATAATATAATATCGAAGAAAAGCACAAATTATAAATTTTTTACAATATTTATTATTTATTTAATGAAGGTACCTTCGTATATTCTTATAGTTCATCTTATTTATTCGATAATGACAATAATAACTATAACTATAATAATATATTCACTCATTCTCGCTTTCCCCTATAAATTGCAAAATCTTTAAAGTTACTCATTTTTTTTCTCTTTCACACGCTGAAATTGACCGCTTCATTCATAAACGAACGACGCCTAAATATTCATCACACGCGTTTATTATTATTAAACATACGGAAAATAGAAAATATTATCCTTTGTGAAAATCATGTACACATTCGCGCTTATTTAAAAACCACGTGATTTTAAGGGCAACAGGACATCATCACATCCACGACCCATCGATTTTACTTCACCTCACCAAGGAACATTTACATAATCGCTTGCTCCTTTTTCTTTTATTTTTATAGTCTTAAATAAAAAAAATCGCAGTTCTGGTTGTCGCTCTTTGATTTACTCCGCTATGTGCATACTTGTATTATGTTAATATATATATATATATAAAAGAAGAAAAAGAAGCGCTAATCTCGGTTAGCTTATGCTTACATACATCTTATACCGAGTAACATAGTATAATGTTATTTTAATTTAAAGTCGCATTAACCGCGCGACTGTTTTTTTCTTTTTCATCTAGTAATGTATTTTCTTAACATTCCATTATCTTCTCTCACTGATTATCCATGGCAATCAAAGCAGCGACGACGACGAACAGATTCACATAAATAAAATTGTAAAAGAATTTTGACATGTAGACTCCTCTCCTCTCCTCCTCCTCCTCCTCCTCCTCCTCCTCCTCCTCCGCTCGTTGCACATTAAATAAAAAGCATATCGAAGCCATCGCCATCGGAAGTCGCGTACTCGTCCGGCGAGAATATCGCGTGGAAGTACAGGCGGTCGTCGCCCGAATCTTCGACCTCGCTAATATCATCGTTATAATCGTTATAATCGTTATCATCGTTATAATCGTTATCATCGTTATCATCATTATCGTCTCCGTCGTTGCGGTCGTTTTCATCGCCGTTGTCGTCTCCAGGTACGTCGCCATTCTCCGCGTCTATTCAACAATTGTTAAGAACATCGATTAAATAATTAAATAGGTAAATAAGCAATCTACCGAGGCTCTTCTCCGGCACACGTATCAGCAATTAAACTAACCAATAAAAATTATAAATTTTGCAGTTAAATTCGACATGTTAACATTATTTTTATGATTAACGAATTCTTCATTTATAGATTGATTTCTTTTCCTCGTTTCAATTAATATTTTACACAATTTTTTAATCTGCCTATTATCCTTATTAAAACTTTTTTTTTATTTATTTTTTTTTTTGTAATACGTCATTATTGGCTATTTGGCTCAATGTAATTAATATTTCGGGTAATTTTTTTTTTTTTTGCAATGTATTAACATACTTAAAATAGTCAAATTATGAAATTTTCTAAATTCAAATCGCGTTAGAAAAAACTTTTGTGCCCTTTAATTACCTCATCTATACGCTAACACGGTCGCGTACTTTGATTTTTTTATCAATTTTTACTACTTTAATAATAATAAAAAAAAAGAAGAAAAAAGAAAAAAAACAGTCAAATGCACCGTTTAACATACCATCGGCATTGTTTTCATCAGAGCCGGAATTCGATCCATCATCGTCACTGGCATCGAGGTCTTCGTCGTCGTCATCCTCTTCGGCTTCGTCCTCGTCGTCCCTACGCCTACCGACATCGTACAAACGCACGCATGACTCTTGGATACTATCGAACTCCCCCTGATTCTCGACAACAGCGATTTGCGTGTCGAACTTATTGCAGGCGAGATCGTAAATGCCTCTTTTTACGTCGAATGTCGCTTTAGTAAAGGATAAAGTTATCTTTAATTTTTTTGTTTTTTTTTTTATTTTTTAATGTGATGTGTAGTATATGTGTCAATATGTGTAGAATATTACGTTAATAAAAACGTTCGTTATAAAAAAGGTAAAATATAACGCGACAAGGAGAAATGGTAATTTTTAAGTGAGGATTATTATTCTCTTTGCGGTCTTTACGTCTTTCCCAGCCACATCGCTAATTCACGAATATTAAATATCTGGCTAAATACTCTACATAGAAGCGTTAAAACCGACTTGGGAATATTTATTTTGTTTCGCTGCATAATTTTGTAGCTTTGGCAGTGGCAATTTCACCTTGCGCTAAACTTAGCTTTATCACTCGAGGAATCGCGATACCACTGTAATTTACCCGAGTTACACGAGACGTTCGTTCTACTTGGCGCCTTGAGTAACCCCCCCCCCCTCCTACAGGCCGGGACTAATTCTCAATCGTAATCGCAGTCAATAAGAAAGTACACCTACAAATGTTGCTGTAATCGAGGGCGTCGAGGGTCTTGAAGGACGTGACGTAATGGGATTCGTCTTCGTTCTCCTGATCGAGCGAGACTGCGTAGATGATGTTGTTTACCGGCGAGAATATGACGTTCATCTGGTCGAGAGCCGGGATCGTTTTAAGGAGGTGGAAAGTCCTGAGGTCCCAGACCTCGGTGTTGGACACGACCTCGGTGCCGTTTGGATGGAACACACCATTGAGAGTTTGGTTGAGCTTGTCGAATTTATGAATCTCCCTTCCCGAGTTCACGTCCCAGAGGATGCCGTCGCTGAGGATGAGCTCGTCGTTCATGCTGAAGGTCGCCCGATTCTTTGTATACTGGTTCGATATAGACGGTGTGAGGGTCTTGAGTAGCATGCCCGTCGCTATGTCGTATATCTGCAATTAATTGGTTTAACCGGTTATTTTCCCTCGTTCTTGCATCGTGTCTTTTCATTCGGCTAATGAGTTTTCGAGGAGATGAGCACGTGAACACGCGCACTCGTACTGGGCATCGTCTTCATCATTTTGAAGGAAGTTTACATTGTTCGTTTCATGCGAACGGAAATATAACCCCCCAAGCACATCCCGACAAAATTGGCAAATTTATCTTTTGTGCGAGACAATATGAAAATTTAATGCTCTTTCAACATATATATTGTTTCTGAAATAATTTGTTAAATTTGTCCACGAGGCTATAGAATCTTATATAAGACAATAAAATAAGCTCGGAGTACCATTTACACTATTAAGACTTATTTATGAAAATAATTTTTAACAATTTTTAAACGATTTAAAATAGCCGATTGTTTTTAAATGTTGTAAGCTATTTTAGACACAACCGTAAAGTACTGAGAACACGCGCGTGCAAATTTTAAACCCAGGGTTATTTCAGGTGACATTAAATCAATCATTAAGCAGGTGTTTTATAAGGAATGTCGATACGAGTACGTTTGGAAAATCTGACCCTGCGGTTGCTAATCGATATTCGGAATATTGATGTTACGGTTTTTTAATATACAGACGCAGCTTTAACCGCCATATTCCTACCGGTTGAGTGTGCCCACCCGACATCCGCCACAAGTCAAAAAAACTTTGATCACTCAAGTTTGTTTCCACGCATTCACAATAAGCAAATTATAAACGAATTCGAGTCTACGTGGTATTTCAATACAGACCATTTGTTGACAAATGGCATTATTTCAATATTTAGAGAAACTAGTATTTCAAACGTTCTCATTATGAAAACAAATATTCATGTTTGTTTTAATTAATGGATGCGATTAAATTTTATATGGGACGCAGCTAATCTGAGCGGTGGGTAGCCGGAGACGGAATTATCGCCACAAAACCGCCTTTATCACTATTATTTTAAAAGTTATTTTTAACGTATTAAGTTATAACATATTTATAAGTTATTTTATTTATAAGTTTTACTTTATTTTAATGATTTGCTCGAATTAATGTTAAGGCCAATTTCAGTCGATTCCTCGGTTAATCTTGTAACTGATGCTTTTTTTTTTTTAAGGAATTAATATATTCATATAAGATTTAGATTTATATCACATTTAAGAATTTTAAAATAAAACAATTTTTGTAAAATTTTTTGCCTAATTGTAATTATAAAAATATATAATTAATATGCATTTCCATTCGTTACTGAACATATAATTTACTTAACGTTCTGTCCTTAAATGGGCAGGATGATATCGATTCTTTACAATTCAAATGAAAAAGAAAAGGAAAAAAATTTTAAACATGCATAATATTTTTTTAGCGCAATTATAGTTATGCGCTATTCAATAAGAAAATTTGATAAACGTAAATTTAAAGAATTAAATATGCCATAAATATATACATAAAATAATAAAACAAAATAATTCGTTTGGCAGTAATTATAATTCCTTTAGAGCAACCGACGACGGTCGGTTCCAATAATAAATCGCGTCGTTTTCAGTCAGCTAATCAATAACATTACGACATTGTTTATATTTCAGTTATTGCAAGCCCTGAAAACAATATTCCATTGTTTCACTTTATCGACTATCGGCATTGATTTAACGCCCAACAATCAGACCGCCAAATGATTAATAAGAGACCAACCGTAGCAACTTCTCCTTGCGTGCCGACTATCCTATCCTGTAGCTTACTGAACTCGACGTAGTCTTCGTGATCGAGAGGTATCTTCATGTCGAAGAAGGTACCGAGACTCCAGAGAGCCGACATCGGCGTACTCCAGGCGGTCGATGTCAATAGGAGATTGCCGCGCTTATTGCACTCAACGTGCGACACGTAGGACTCGTGGCACGTGTACGTCGCTTCCTCGGAGCCGGTTCGGGCGTTAAACATCTTTACCTCACCGGCATATGTGCCAAGGAGCAAATACTCTTGGCACGGCTGTAATATTAATAATCAGATATGGCGGTTGGTTTATATTTTTACTCGAATAAAATATGACTTATTATTCTTAATATATTGCTACACATTTAGACTTCTTCAAGATATTAAGTGAATTAATATTTTGGCTTTTGGTGAATTGCATAATTAAAATAGGTAGCGACTAATGCATACCTCAATCGTTATAAAGTTTGGAACAAAAGTTTCTTAAAAACAAAGTTTCTGGTCCCAATAACTTTAGAAAAATTTAATTGTCTAATTAATTTGAATTCTACCTATGAACTTTGGCTACTTATGTAATACTAAAAGTTAAAGGCTTAAAACTAAACGTAATTATTTAAAGATCTAATACTAGGATGAATGATTTTAATTAATTTTATATGAGGAGGATAATAATGTCGAATATTAGGACAAAAAATTAGGAGAATATATTGACGAATTCTATTGAAAATTTAGAAATTTTGAATATTAAATCCTTATGTATTTAACATATCTGGCTACGTAAAGTTTATGTATTCCAATGTATCGTAATTTAAAAAATTTTACATATACATATCTAAATAAATATATTGAAATATATGTCTCGAATTATTGGCTAGATTGACTTTTCGTGCTGAGGTACTTGAAATAAATCAGTCAATAATGTCATAATTAATTCTCGTGTCCATGATAATTTTTGATATAGAATATATATTTATTATGTGTATTAGAAAATTATTCGTATTCAATCGAATGAATTTTCAGAATATTATCTTACCACATATTATATTACTGTATTCATTTAATATTAAACTACGCCTTCCAATCAACTTAAATACGGCATACAAAATATATAAAGTAAAAGAAATATATATCTATCAATCAGTCATAGGCATTATTGTTTAATATAAATAGTAACGGTATATAATTTAATGATCCTTTTAATTATTCAACGAAAACGTAAACTCACGGAAAATGTACAACATGTGAATGTTCCATCGACATCTAAGGGACGGAAGGTTTTTACTGGACAAAAACGACTGTAAATATGTCTTCTATCCAGCCGCCTGCCATCTATGCCTTGTTGTCTCCTCGATAACCTTACAATAACGTTGAGGGGTGTGGAATTTTTCTTGCATGGATCCGGACATTTGTGCGGTCTTAAAAAGAATGTATTTTATTATCTAATAAAAATCTAAAATAAATAATGTAAATTATTTTTGTAAATGGAAATTGCTTAATTTTAACTCACTCGAATAAATTAAACTGTGGGCATGTGACCATTGGGTTTTTACAAAGCGCGTGTTGATTTGTTAAATACTCTGTTATAATAGAATCTAATGTAACTGTTTGAACATTCGAGGATGCCACACCAAGTGCCGTCCCGCCGGGATCTCTTGAAATCTGTTTTTGTAACGATCTACACGATGATTGTTGAATTTGATTGCTTATACATTGATAGCTAGATTGAGTTGTAGAAAGTGTCCTTTCCGTTGTTTTTCTGAGGGACAAAAATATTTTCAAATTAATCGGTTGCAATTGACTGTAGTTAAAAAAGCACTCGAAGAAAATAATAAAAGCTTTTTATTTTATATTCCGCGTTATTCAATGAAAAATGACTAAGAATGTCATCAGCAATTCTTACTTTTGACTAATCTGCAGTTTTATAGGTTGGCTGTTCGCCGACGGACTTTGGCTTAACGTATCAGCAAGCTTAATTCTAATAGGAGTGTTATTTGCTATGGGAGTAGAGTTTGAAACTGAACCAGTGTGGGAAATAAATCGAGAGGTATTATTCGTTGGTGTCGTGTTTGTTCGAGTGGCTGCTTCCCTCTGCATACATCTCGTGTTGTACAAATTAGCTGCAGCACCCGGGGAAAAGGCTGGTCTTGGCTATAGACAAAGGATGAGAAGTTAAAATTTGATTCCTACGAACTATTAAAATGAAAATAAACAGAATGTAAAAGTATACGTACGCTTGTAGTAACTGGACTCCGGTAATGGAAAGGCTGATATGTTAATGACTTTGCTAATGTTGGTGATTCCAAATTCGCCTCTTTCTGTAAAATCGATGCTGATTCTGTTAATCCTTTGGATAATAAATGTTGATAAATAAGTTGATGTAACTGTTGCTCGTTATACTGTATTCTCGTTTGTGCTACAACGTTTGCCTACAAATGTTATTAAAATAAATTATTAGCCAAGTAACATTATTATTAGCTGTTAAAGAATAATATCAAATGCTCATGGATTTAAAATACTTAAACAGCTCATTTTTAAGTTAAAGGATGCTTCATTATAAATCAAGACAACATTTTGCTGCTTAAAAGTATTAAAAATATTCATTGGATATTGGAGAAAAAATGACTTCCCCGAGAGCTACTCATTTTGTAATCTGACAATTTTTTGTAGCATTATTTATCAATCAATTTTAGTCAGATCAACTTGACAATAAAATAAATATTAAAAATCTTATTTACAATTGCACTTACATCATTACATTGTTTAACTATATTATTGTTTTTTTAATTATTGTTTTTTTTTTTTAATCCTGACTGAACGTATTTTGCATACTATAGATAAGCTTACTCTGAAATATACTATTTCATAATATGTACAATTATATTATATTTCGACTTACTCTGTGTAAACTAACTAAAGAAATTTCATATTCTGCACCAGTAGGCTTAGCTTTTCCAGAAACATGCTCCATAAGTTCTAAGGCATACTTTTGAAACATTACGTGTTCCTGTCTCTTTTCTTGAAGTATGGGATCTTTCATCAAAGCTTGAATTTGGCCATCCGTAAACATAGGTAATTTACTTATTATCTGTCTCACTTTCTCGCTTCTCGCAAGACCGGCCAAGGCTCTACAAGCCAATGCACGAATACTATCCGCATCCGTGATTGGCGTCTTAACCATCATAAGTTGCAGTAAAATCTGAAACATTTTAATATTATTGAGTATTAATAAAACTGGAGATTCTCATAAAATATGTATTCCTTCAATACGAAATAGGTATTTATAAATACGAATTAAACGACAATTCGAATAAACGAAGAAAATTATTTGTTCTTTTGAATTTTTTTTTCAATATAGGCATAAATTATTCTTATTGATACGGACTACTTTATTAACGGAAAAATCATATTTTCTATCGTTCGGAAAGCAACAATAAAATTGTGATTATTTCAATATGAAAAAAAAAAAAAAAAAAAAAAAATTAATTCAAGGTTAAAATTTTCCATAATTCTCAGCGTTACTTGTGAAAACTATCAATTTGAAAATTAATTCTTACAGGTAGTTAGAAATTTAATCTGCATTACTAATCGGTCATACGTTTCTAATACGTGGATTAACTAATTTCCACATGATTTACCTATCTTCAAAATTTGGAATAAATTTATTAATGACATCTGTTTAAAGATAAACGTTATTTAATTCGCTAGTAATTATTCAAATTACTTGTATTACATTTTATATGCTTATTTACATTTGTTTACGTATTAATGACATAGGTTTGATCAAATTTAGCTCAAGATATTTTTGTTTCTCATCTACTTCGTGCAAGGAGAATGAGAGAGAGAGAGAGAGAGAGAGAGAGAGAGAGCCACAAGATGCAAAGGACAATTCATAGGCTCTTATTGATTATGAGAAGACATAAGCGAGCGCGTATAAGTCCTGCAAAACTGACGGGAAGAGATGAAAAACTAGAGAACAAAAAAACCTGACCAGTTAACTGAACCAAAAGAGGAGACTGCGGAAAGAAATCAACAACAGTATCTCTCGATGAACCCCCACCAAAGCCCAAAACTATCACTTTTTTATGCCATATCGGCAACCGTATTCATCACTCTAGAATAATCTCGTATCGTTCTTTAGCTCTCTCTCTCTCTCTCTCTCTCTCCAGGTCCACGGCAATCGGCGGTAGTCGAAGGCGGAAGCATCGAAAATTGAAACCCACATTACTCGCTACATTTTTGTCACTGTTACCTGTATTTTCCCGGGGCTATATTTGTAAAGTAAATGTGCACATTTAGCGAAAGTTAAATACATCTTTCAATAGAAATGAATGATGATAATTATTTACATTGTGTAATTAATCAAGCTTCCTTCTTTATAGAATGGTATTAATTTAACATATTTTCACAGATAAGGATCGGTGGATATTATACAGGGGAGATAATGATACCGACATACGTAATAGGTAAACTGCAAATTTGAAATTAGCTTATTATTAATAAAGAGAACACCTTCGTCAATTTATTTAGTTTTTCGAAAGAAAAAAAGCAGAAAAAATCTGACCCTCGTTCAACTCACCATGATACCGTTATTCGATCTGACGCTCTCCCAGACCTTCTGTATGAGCTCATCGTCGTATATGCTAGTCTTCTTTTTGGCGGAGCCCGTCACCGAGTACCGCGCCACGTTGCCTCCAACGCGGTTTATCGGGGCGCAGACGCAATTGATGACGGCGCGGAGGGCAGCCCGCTGCACATCCGCGTCGGCAATAATCTCGCACTCGGCCGCTGCCAGCAGTAAATTTATCGACATGGTCATCGAGAGGTCGGGCATGTCCACGCGTTCGCATAGCAATAGCATAACTTTGGGCACCACTGAGCATATCGCTATTACGTCCAGGCAGGCGCGAACAGTCTCGGCGCTCGAAGTCGTGTGGACGCTAGAAAAGAAATTTTATTGAGCATTGTTCGTTGTGTTGGACGAGAGTAAAATCGTTTGAGGATTGCGAAATACAAGGTCGCTAATTCGTTATCGTAATCGTTAGCGACGAGGATCAAGTCTTGTTAGTTAAAAAGTATGGGAAGGGCGAAGATTCGTTTGCATGGATAATGATCGGGTGTCTGAATAATAGACTTTGTTTTTTGAAAGCTCATAAGCTTGATTGCTCACTCGTCTATTCAAATACTTACCGGCCGTTAAAATTCCACTCTCGAGCAAAGGCAATGATTTGTAAAAGAAGGGAAATACCACCGAGACGATGAAGCTTATCAACCGATGGCCACAATGTCCTTAAATACATCAACTCCTGCAGCACTTCCACCTTTGCTTGAACCTCTTCGCAGCTCAACTTGCAAGCCTTTAAATAACGCGACATATCATCATCATCATCATCATCATCATTATGAAAATTAAATTCTTTAAATATGAAAATCAATGAGTAAGGGCATAAACGTTACTTTGTAAGGCGGTAAGGAAGGTTGCCACGTATCACGCTCGGTTCTCGCATTTTCCGCCCGCTGCAATTGTTCTGCTTTCCAGCACAAGTGAGCCTCCGTGTACTTCTTTAATGCGACGGCAACGTGTCGCACGATTTGTCTAGAGGCGCATTCCTCGTCGTCGTTTAACGTTGCTTCCTCCTCAATGTTTAACAATGGGAGTGTAGATATCTTTAAAATTCATTGTTAATTAACAACGGTAAGTGAAGAGATTAATTATTCTTTGGGATTGATTGTAAGGTTTCGATAATTTTAAGTAATTTATAAAATTATTCGCTAAAATCTCGTATTCAAGCATATTGGAAATATCGAATTTAAAGTTATTGTTCTCGAATGTCATAAGGCATTTGGCAATATAAATACAAAGCACTTTCTTATTAAAATAGAAAGCTGAATAATTACCACATTGTAAAGTTTCCTCAATCCATCTTGAGCATCGAACTCATCGAGCATGATCTTGAAGGGAAAGGAAAAGCCGAAAAACATCGTCGCGTGACACCTTCCCGAGTCATGACTACGTTCCAGTAGCCATAACGCGTACATAACGAGGTCGCCTATTACAAGTTTTGGCAGAAGGCAGACTTTTTCCATGACGTCTTCGCAATAAGCTAAGTAATACAAACAAATGGAGACACCGGTAGCGGCGATACTGGGTCTTGGTATATCGATAAGACACTGCAGACCGTTAATGCTCAAGAACTCGATAGAAAATTTTTTATGGCAGAGTAAGGATGCGAGATATTTGAGTGCTTCGAAGGCTAAGCGACTATCCTTTGTTTTACGTACATTTATGTATTCGAGAATGAGATCGAGAGCATTTTGTTCGAATACATGCCCCAAAAATTCTTGATATTCTCCCATTGGTGTTAAATACCTGGGGAAAATCAAATAATTACTTCATTTGATACAACTGGATAGCAAAATTAACTGTGCAAATGAAATTAATGAAAGTGAAAAGAAAGTAAAATAATCCTAAATAAATATTGCTTTCAACATACATAATTTAATAAGTATATATAATGGTAAAATATAAAATTTTTATAATTTGTACAATATTAAAACATTCCATTGGTACATTAATTTTAATTCTTTAGAAATACTTTACAATTACAACATTATACTTTCAAAATAAATTTCTCTTTATTTAGTCATGTTACTTTAAGCGCATAAAAATACTTTTCTCCCTATTTATTTCGTTAGATGAATATTATAGGATTGATAGTAGGATTGTGCAAGCAATCGATTGAAATGTATGTGTAAGACGAAATATTATAAACATCTCCTCTTATTATTGTACCTGAGAATGAGCATTTGTCGTGTTGATAAAGTTGGAGGATATATTTGAATATTTCCAATGACGTATGATTCCATTTCAGCCCACGATGAATTTGAATTCCCTTCGAGTAACGTGGATGGTGTATTATTTTTATTTCCCATCATTTTCGACCAAGCTGGACTCGACGTATTTCTAACACATGGGTTTTGATTTTTTAATGAAGTCGTTGTTGAACTTTTAATCTCGAAAATTGGATGTTTGGTGGGAGTTGAAAACTAAATATATATTTTATAACAATTATTACTAAATTCAATATCGTTTAAAGCATTGAAAATCAAAATTTTTATTTTATTAACAAAGAAAATATGTCTTAGAAAATTGTATACTTAATTTACTTTACCTGAGAATTACTGGCATGGCTTTTCAATGTATTTAAAGGCGGAATTAATAGTGGTGGCAACATTATATCAGGATAACAAGCATTTTTCTTCACTGGAGTGACTTGTTCGGTTCCTTCTTCGTTTTTCAATTTCTTGATTGGTGGGGAAGAAGTTTCATCGCGAATAGTGTCGCACTCCACTTCATCCTCCGAGGACGAATAATCCGCCAGCTCTGGTAAATTATTCTTTACGGTTCCATTCTCTCGAATTTTATTCCTTATTTTTCTCTTTCCAGGAAAAGCTTTGTGTTCAGAATCTGTCAGACTGTTGTTGGATCGATTTTGACCGAAGTGAGTGAATGGTCGAGTAGCATTGGTCAGCTGTCTTTCCTCGGCAGCTTTCTCCTGCAGTTTGTGAAGTCTTTTTAACATCAATGGTACCATTTTTCCATTCTGCTCGCGGAAACCTGTTGCAATATCCTGAACTTCCATGGCAGCAGCCAACAAACCAGTTGCATAGCTCTGCAATGGCTCTGAACTTTTCTCAGCCCACGAAAAGAGTCTGTGAATCAGGCCTTCCATATCCGGTTGAAAGACAGCCGATGTTTCGAGGCCTGGCAGAATATCGAGCATCAATCGACAAGCTGCAGTATTCAAACTTCTTACATCTCTGTTTGTTATACCAACTCTCAACCAATAATTATCTCTTAAATAATCATTTATTAACTGAAAAAACGTCGGAGTTATATATATTAAAATTTTGCGTTAATAGAAAAATTATTGCTACTACTTTGATGAAGAAATGAGTTGCAAACCTTTGTCATAAAAATCTCTTTTCGAAATAAAACTTTTAATATGTGACCAAAATTACAATCTGGATCTGTGCGAGATGGATGCCTCTCGTCAAATGGGTCTGGATCCATTTTTAAATAGTTTTCCGTTTCTTGCTCTATTATTTGAGCCAATCGTTGCAACGTGGGTATTGGATTATAATTAGGTGAATTTTGATCTTCTTCCCATTGCCTTAAAATTTGTACAACATCTGTAACTTCAGCCAATGATTCGGTAGTTGCCATCTAAATATAAATTTCCATTATTATAATACATCTGCTTTATTTAGCAACGGTTGCTCTATAATAAATAACATTTCTTCTTAATTAAAAATAAAATTAATTGTTGATTATAAAATTTGAAATGGCAATTTCAATGCAAATAATTCCAAACCTTCGAATACTTCAAAACAATAATTAATGACAAATTAATACTCTCGGCATATTCGTCTCTACAATAATTAAATGATATAATCTTATGAATATTCAATAGTTAGGTTAAAGAACTTGGACATTATTAAGCTTATAAATAATCATAAGTTGTTATAAAGTATTTAAACATTAATGAGTAATATATGTGGTTTTAATGAAAATAACCAAAAGATAAGAGACTTTTAACCCGATAGATAAGACAAAAATATATTATATTTAACCGTAATGAAGAGAGCTACGATAATATCGATTATTCACAAAATATTTTATACAAATGCGAGTGTAAAGATTTTATTCATGAGATCATTAGCCACACAGTCAAATATAAATCTAATTATAAATATTATTAACAACATCATTATAATAGTTGTGAAATTGCATTATCGAAGCATTACAACAAATTGCAATATATTTAATACAAACATTTTCAGAAAACCAAAATAATTTCAACTATAATACTAAGAAATTTACATCAATAAATTTTCACAGCTATAAAGGATTATGATTAAATTGACGTTTTATGTAATTAGCGTAGGTGCATCTGCTCCATCACATCTTAATAATTGTCTAATAAAGTATTTACTTATAATAAAGTGAAATTTATCACTAGATTTTAATGAAACGTGCTTTTTTATTTATTTATTTTTTTTTTTTTGCCACTTTAACGCTATTTATTCAAGCATTATATACACAGATCTAAATTTGTACGTGCATATTAAAAGGAGAACTTGTTTATAAATAACAAAATTTCAAAACAAAAGCATTTAGAAATGCATTAAATATTATCGATGTGTCGTAAATACGCGTAGAGAATTGGAGATCATCGTAATCCGGCGAGGAGGAAAAGCGTAATTTTATTACCTTCCATTAACCTTTTTAATCGCGCTTTACAATTCCGCAGGCAATGTCTATATATTACCGCGGATGGAGAGCGTTTTCAAAAAACGCCAAGGGAAGAGGAGCCGCACCTTAACCTCAAATTCCCGGGGAGCTGCAGCAGCTCGTTACTCCTCCGGACGGCGACGTACATCTAACGTAAATAACATTCGTGTGGCGAATTCAGGTAAGAGTAGCCGATGTAAGGGATAAACGACAAATGAGAGATCGCGTATCGGACCGATTCGATGTGACGAAATGTACGAGATTTTTTAGGTCTCGGCGAACGGGCGCTAAGAGTAGTAGAAGAAACGATCGCTAAGTGAGAAGGTGCGTGACAGCGACAGCGACACACAATCAAGTGTCCGCGAAAAGAAACAGTGCACTGGTCACATGTATACAGTACAGGTCAAAAATCTTTTAAATACCGAACGAATTATTACTATTACTCCTACCATTATCATTATCATTACCATTGTAATTATAATTATCATTGTAATTATAATTATAATTATAATTATCATTATCATTATCATTATCATTATCATTATCGTCACCGTTATCATTATCATTATTATCGTCGTCGCAGTCGTCGCCGTCGCCCTACTCGTCGTAGTCGACATCATCATCATTATTACAATTATCATTAATTAATATCCTTTATTTTCTACGCGATTTGTTATTATAAAAGCTCTTCAATCTTAGCATGGCCTCATAGATTTTATGCGCGTATGGGTATGCATGCGCATGTGAACTCGCGCGCGCGCACGCGCGTTTATGTACACTATTTTTTCACTTTATTTTTACAGCGGCACATGTAACTTTATTGCACATATATAAAAATATATTGATTTCGTATGTTGTAATTGAAAAAAATAAATAAATAAAATAATAAATAAATATAATGAAACAAATAAAAAAAAATTGGAGAAAAAAAATGAAAAACACATGCACGAAAACGCGCATGCATGCGTACACATTGTGCACGCATGCAAACGCGCATTTATATGAATGTGTAAATTCAATTCGAGTTATTGTTTTACTTTTTTTATTTTATTGGTACGTATTTTCATTATTTATATTACTGTAATTTGTGTTAAATCACTTTCTATCTAGCAGTAGGTATTTTTCAACAACCAAATACCTCGAATTAATTTTCCATCTTGTAAATTTAATAATTAATGCCCACAAATATAAGTAATACACCTTTTGTCTCCAAATTATTGTGAAAATTGTGTTAAAGAAAAAAAAAAAAAAATAATAATAAACTTCGTTTTAAATTAATTTTCAATCGACGTTACCCGATAAACATGGAATGCCCCTTAACGAAATAATAAAACAATTATTTCCGTACTTAAAGTACAATTATTTATTTAGCACGTGCTAGTTTAACAAACTCCAGTACCTCCTCCTAAAAGCATAATAACAAAATCTCTGATATAAATTCGACTATTGCCTCTCCTAAGGTTCATTTATAAATTGTCCACGGGCACGTACTCTCGAGCTTTAAACGCAAGTGTGACTTTAATTTTGAATTTACACAATTTGGTAATAAAATTATTACGCTAATGATAATATTTTTCGAAATGCGACTTTGTATTAACGTCAATTTTTCGTAATCATATTATGTGCTGCTTACATTGGTTAGGACTTTTGAATTGTACTGTGTATAAATGTGTGTGTTGCGTGCGAGCGCACGTGTGCGTATGCATGCATATATATATATATATATATATATATATATATATATATATATATATAACGTGTTAGATATGCGAACGTGTGGAGCCAGAGCGACGAGAGCAGAGGTTAGAAAGCCGTTCTAAGCATAAGTACGGGGTGACATTCGTAAAAAGCTCACCTCTTCACTGTTTCTTCGATGCGGTACTCGAATTCCCTTTTCCACAGCGCCGCTTAATACGTCGATTTGCGAAATTCACAACCTTCCAAGCAGAATTAAGTCACTACTCGACCGACTCGTGTTCTCACTCTTGGCTCGTGTACATAATACTTGCACAATACACTGAAATACACGCGTGCCTAGTAGGCTCGCGCTTTTTAGTTTGAGTTAAAAGCACCAGATGGAAGAACAGGACGAGAATTTTTATCGTTGGCGCATTCTTCGAATAGATTTGAATTGAATTGCAGTTGAACGGGAATGAGCGCAATCCGAAGTCTTGGAGATTCTTCGCGAGACAGGAGGATAAACGTAAGAATCGTTAATTAATAATAGACTCTCGTACATTTTATGCGCTTCTCAATGCTTCTTCATATCTTTATGAAAATTTTTATCAATGATGTATATTTTATCAACGATTTCGACTGGAAAAGCTTATCGTAGTGAATTTGAAAGAAGAGTATTTGATGATTATATAGGGCTCACTTCTCGAGACGGGGGCTTCATCGATGATGATACGAGATTAAAAGTTTTGGTACATCGACCGGCTTGTTGGCACGAAACTCGGTTTGAGATAAATGTACTTAAGCTACTTATTGGCAGACACAGTTGATAATGGCCTCTTGCCAGAGAATACAGAAGCGTAAGTGAAAAAGGATGTTTTTTTATTTTTTTTTTCTTTATCTGACATAATTGTTGTTTTATTAACACGTCGATTTTATGCCAATTATCTTGGCTTTTTTTTTCTTTTACATCGTAATATCGTTGAAGCTCGGAGTACCTATTTTTAATAAAAGGCGTCATTACGTATATCGTAATAATAATATCGTTATTACGATTTTAAGGCTAATTTGTTACAGTTCGTCATATACCAGCCACATTTGCTTAAATAAAAAAAGCTTTGAATAAAAAGATTAAAGTTTACAAAAATATAAAATCTAAAAGGAATAGCACTGTGTTACTCGAAGAGAAAAAAAAATCTGAAATAATGAATGATTTATCGTATAAATGAAAGATGTCTTTTCAAACTTATATCACTTTATTGTTACATTTTCTACGTACTGATAACAATAAACATAAAATATTTTGGTTTACAATACGATATACATACATAAAATTAATCAATGAGTAATTTTAATAATTAACATTTATGATTGCATAATCTAGGTAATTTATCATACATTTTATTAGATTATAAAAAATGTAAAATTTGCTGCTCACGATAACTTATACAACAGTGTTAAACTAAAAACTTAGGGTCGAAGATATTAGTTTTAGAAGAATTAGTTGCAGAGGAGGTTAATTTTAAAAGAAAATATAATTATGTTAATTATAATAAAGTACCTTTATTAAATATTATTTACTGCCACTATGCTAATGATATTGAAATAAATATACAGTTGGACAGAGATAATAGATTTGTATCTTTACAAACTATTTATTTACAATTTACAAATATTACTTATTTACAGATAATTTGTTTTTATTTATAGCTAACATTAAATAGCTATTTACAAAGTAAAATTATTTTTTATTACTTATCGTTTTTTTTTTCTTTTTAAATGCATGAGCGAAAAAATTTACTATATACTATTAAATTTCGTATAAAAAAGGAATTTTTTTTTTCAATTTTCACAAAAATAATAATAATATACTAATATGTGTCTCAACATCTTTTTATATTTAGCAACTAGTGCTATTTTTTAATTTCAATATCTTCTATTTTTTTTGTTTTGTTTTGTATCTTTCTTTATTCATCTAATTATTTCATTAATTATCAATTTGCTTTTTTGACTTTTTTGTTTTGTTTTGTTGCTTTTTTTTTTTTTTTTTTTTTATTTTTTTTTTTTTTTTAAATACGTTCTAAAGGATCGTTGTCAATACTGGTATTATTATTAAGGCGTTCAGATAAATGGCATTTGGCACTGGAATGCAACTAGAACGCAGTTGTTGGTAACTGTTAACGTGAAACGTTAGACAAACAATATACTTTTGAGAAAAAGAATAAAGTATAGAGAGAAAAATGCAAAAAAAAAAAAAAACAGAAAGAAAAAGAGAGACAAATATAGTGGAAACACTCAACCACGAAGTTTTTTCAGATCTAATGTTATTTAAAGGCACGATAAATCAATTATTATTTTCTGTTATTTCGTGAGAGAATTTTGGAGGAACGGAGAAGGTCACAATTGCTGCTCTCGACAGGGCACCCAGATGTTCGGACCCGACTGCTCGGCTATAACTTTCTTTACCATTGCATAGATGTCCTCTGGTGTATCGCCTTGAACAACAGCTGAAGAATCAATTTATAATATCGTTAATAAATCTAATGAAATCTAATTGATATAAGAATTTTCGGCTTTCGAGTTGATCTAGTGTCGAATAGACATTTATTATTGGTAGTTGTTTGATTTTACCGTAAGGAATTTAATATATAGAAACTCGTAATAAATCGTATCGGTTTACATATAGATAAACGCCATTTATACATTAAAGTTCTAACTACTTATTGTACGTTTGCAGGACAATCGATACAAATATTGATAACTATTAAGCATTTATAATAAGTAATTTGATACAAGCTTTATTTTTATGTGTGTACATTACAAATGGACATATTTTTTTTTGCGACACAAGCACAATAATGTCCAAATACATTATAATGATTACACGACTGTAAAACAATCGATATATTTAATAGATTCGGTTTAACCCCGAGTAAGGAATAACTTGTAAAGCATGTCATTGAATAACGTACCTGTGAAGTATTCGCCGAATTCTTGCTCAACTTTTATAGCTCTATCAAATACTTTTTTAGCCTGATCCTCTGTCATCCTCTTATTCATCTCCCTATAAATACGATAATAGACATTTAAACAACGATCGTGTCACTATTACATTATTATTATTACATTTTTACATATAAAATGCCGAATTGTCTTACATGATGGATTCAACTGATTTAGGCTTAATGTAAATTGTGATTGGATACAGTTGCGCCACTTGCAGTCTTTTAATAGCATTTCCACTCACATCCAGAATGCAATGTTTTCCCTAAATGACAAGTTGCAAATAATTGATGGTTAATTCATGAATGTAATAGTTAATTAATGTTCCGTATTCAACTGATAGTATAACATTGTTTGTTTGTTCTACCTTCTCGGCAACTTCTCGAACCGATGCGATTGCTGTGCCATAAATGTTATCGTTATACTGGCCTGCTTCAATAAAGAGATTATTTTGTATATCTCGTTCCATTTGTTCTCTGGATGCAACAAAATGATAGTCTCGTCCATCTACTTCGTATTCTCTTTTACTCCTCGTTGTATCTATAGCAAACGAGAGTAAAATAGCATCTCTCAAATTTTTAGAATATAAACAAGTTAGATATCGATTTTGTTAAAATTAACTGTTTAAATTACAATTACAACCGACATTACTTTCACACAAATTAACATTCATTTAGATAATGTTAGTCAACATCGATATTTGCTTTTTTTTTTCTTCTCTTTAATTGCTGCAGTTTTATGCATCGTATTTTTTTAAATATGCTCTCACGCTATCAAATATTTATGAGCGACTCTGACTATTTGCCTTAAGTTCATTTTCTATCGTTATGTAGAATAGCTTTCGTGAAATATAAAAAAAAAAAAAAAAAAAATCAAAAAATACAAAAACGATAGGACATTGTTAAGAGACTATTCATTGAAGAGTTCGTCAACGTGTAATAAAAGTAATAATTAAAAACATCTTTTACGACTAAGCATAAATAAAATGAAACAATGATATATAACAAAAGTTCATAATTTCTTTTGCTTTATTCATTTCCGATAGCATTGAGATACCACAATTTATACTTGTATTTGCACATTTTTATCAATATTAATGAATCAATACTATTTGTATATTATAAAATTTGTAATACTGCATTCTTAAAAATTGCGCAAACAAAAAATATTTAAAAACACGTGCACTATTATATACTTCTCACAAATATTAATTACTTAAAACAGTTTTTGAATTCTATTGATTCCGATAAGACCATTAATTTATTCATGATGTCAGTATTACGATTCACTCAATTATGTAAATTTTCCGATATTTTACCTTCATAAGACGGTTCATAAGATTGTTATTAAAAATCGTTGGTAAAAAATCATGATAAAATTAAATGAAAATATTAAGGGATAAGGCACTCGCGCGTGTTAGTGTTTTTCCATATATTTACGAGTGCACATCGATTGAAAAATATGTAAAGTACGGTATTCAAGTTACGGCACTAAATGAACAATAATGAAAGAAAACCGAATGAAGGTTACATTCTTAAATTATAAAGACACATTGAGCATTGGTGAACGATTAATCGCCGTTAATCGCCGAACCATTTTAAATGTCTACGTGTATATGTAGGGTATGAAACAAAATACTAACGTGGTATGCAGCTGTCAAATTTGTCCGGGAACTCGGAGATGAGATCCTCGTTGATACGATCCTTTAGCGGGCCAACAATTATAATGGGTCGCGTGTACTGAATTGTCAGCCGTTGAACGGCCTCGTATGACATTCTTGTTTTTATTTTCATTCGTTATTTCTGCGAATTTAAAGGCGCAATCGTCAGATTGTATTTCGTAGCCATGAGCTTTTTAATTTTAAAACTTTTATTCTATAATTAGAAGCATTAGTGTCGGAGGTCACGTCATTTTTGTGAAATTTAGTTTTTTGGGGCATTCGTTAGGAGGACAACTTTGACGATAAAATAATTCATGAACGGAATCAAGTGTGAGCATGAATTAAGCTGCAAGCGAATCTAGGCTCGCAAGCTCGAATCATTAGAATGAAGTGGAAATTGAAAATGAACAATACCGTTACAACTAGTTACATTTAAATAGATAAAAAATATATAGTTTTTATAATTAAAATGACCTTACAGTTAAAGTTCATTAGCACTTCTGTTCAAAGATTAAATTAAGTCCTTAAGCAATTCATTCGTGGGAAGAAAGATAAAAATACGGAAATTAATATGTATCCTTACTTTTTCAATAATTATTAACATCTGATTATCATTAAAGAGAATGTTCAAGGTGCACTTAAGCATTTGAAAGATCGATGCAAGTAATATCTATTTTAAATTATTAATTTACTTTAGATGCATGTGAAAGTAAAAAGAAAAATAAATGCCAATAAGTACTGCGTATCGATAAATCGAAAATTTAATCCCGATAATCTAATTTCATTGTCTCGTCAGGGGAAAATTTAGCTTTATCAATAATTCCATACGATCCGATGCATTTTTTTATAATGAAAAATTCCTAGATGAAACTTGCTTTAAAATTGTATAATATTAAATTTAATAGATAAAAGTAATTTTTCATATATATCAATGAAGTATTGATAATGACATTTATTATCTGTATACAATTTTTAATCGATGAATCAAAGAAATCGATATTAAAGGTCTTTTGAAAAATATTTCTTTTTTAGTTTACTGAGTATTGGCAATATATTAAAAAAAAAAAAATATTTATACTGATATTTAAATTATATTGTTGTTATTTAATTATTTATTCGTTCGTTGATTTATACACTCGTTCATTCGTCATCAATTAATCAATTAATGTATTCATTCGTTTTTCATTATCATCACCATCGCCGTCATCGTCAATGTCATAATCATCGACATCGTTATCCTTATCGTTATCATTAGGCACCGTCGTCCCCGTACCAATATTTAAGAAAATGTTTCTAGATCGCAAAAGAGCACAAATTGAATTACCAATGAGAATATTATAATTTTAATTGTCCTGAATAAGCCTGCACTCAAATGTATATAAAAACCAGATTCAAATTAATTCTAATGGTGATTATTTGCAGTAACGGATTTTTCCCAGCGCTTTCGTAGGCGGTGGATGGTATTCGAATACTCGTCATAAGCTATTTTTTTGCAATAATTTTGCGATTGAGGTTTACCGACATACCATCGTAAAAGAAACGAGGGAGCAAGATGCACCCACATTAGTTGGGAACGCGATTTCTTTATGATTACACAAGTGTTGCGACTGGGTGGTGGAGAGGCGTAGATGGAAAAACCCGGTATCTTCACAATTTAATAATACTTACGCTCTTGAACGGCAATCTCCTCGGATTTCCCGTCTTTGTGCTTAGAGAAAGGCAACGTGCGGCCGAACGGAAAATTCTTCTTTTTCCTCTCGAGGGTGGATTGCTGGAACAGCAGAGCCAAAGAACATGTTTACTGCGATCGAAATTAATAATAAATAAATCTAGTCATTTCGCGGGTGGGAGGCGGGGGGGGGGGGTATTTGCATTCTTGAAAAATAAAAATTGAGGACTAGCGTGATGGGGGCCAAGGTGAGTTTATTCCACGAAGTGTGCTTTCTCGATCACTTTTTTTATTAGCTTATGTTTTGGATTAGTTAAATTTGGATTAATTAAAATACAATTTACTGTCAAACAGAATTTTAACAGATTAATGATTGCTTTAATAGACAAATTTTTAAGCGTTTTCTAATTTAGAAACAAAAAAGGTATTTTTAATAAAGATTGCTATCCACATTGCGACATTATATTTGTCATTTATGAAAGCAGTAAAATAGTAGGAATAAAATTATCGCGTTATCTGTAATCAAGGGTATATACATACTTTTTTTTTGCTTTTTTTTTTTTTTTTTGTTTAAGTAATAATAAATAAAACAATCGTTCCTCGCAGATTACGAGCTCATAAAAATCAACGAATGCACAACAATTGAGCGGTTGCATTTTTACTCTTACGGAATTAATGTCTCGCTCTAAATAGCTCAAGTAGAATTTGATAAAATTCGCGCGACACTTTATCATTTCAAAAGTTTAGTTTGAAATCAATGTATCACTTTATTATTACGTATTATAAGTAACTTTTATATTGATATTGGCAATAAAGTTGAAAACTTTTTTAATAAAGGCATACCAATAAAAAAAAATAAAAAAAAAAAAGCAATCCATTATTTTTACTTTACCTACTGTTAATAATTATCTAAAATCTAAAGGATTGTAATAACGATTTTACAAGACTATGAGCTAACAGATATTGATAAAAGGTATTATATTTAATTGCGTTATATCGATCTCAATTCTATCGATCTATCAATTAATATTATGGATTTACGAAGGTTAAAGAAAATTTTGAAAATATTCTGAAAACGCTTTGAGAAATTAACGTTACGAGCTACCATTTAAGAAGAGAAAACGAAGAGAAAAAAAAACCACCAACGGCTTAAAATACAACGTTTTGAATTAGCAAGCGATTTTAACGAGCTATAAGTCATATATTACATCACAGCAGTTTGAAAAATGTTCTCTAATTTTTTTTATTTTTTTTTAACTTAAAGACTGAAAAATAATCTCAAACGTGCTCAAAATCAAAATCTTAACTACAATCGCTGCGTTTAGCCGATGAAATTTCGTAGTTTCAAAATTCTTGAAATTTTTCGAATCGACTCACTAAAATATTATTGTACAAAGGCGTGGCTATAATGCTGCTGTTTATTGAAATTATACAGAAGAATGCTTGAATCGTCATTTGTGCTGGTCGATCGATAAATTATCATCTTCCTATCAATTATTTTAGAATTTTATTCAGCTTTGAGAAATAGTTAATTACATTAAGACAGTTTCTACTATATTGCGACATAGAATACAAATCAATATTTAAATTTAAAAACTATAGTCACGGCTTTTCATTTATCTCTTTAAAAGTGCCTCGCAATAAATTTAATCAATTACCTGTTTACCCCCGCGATCCCCTCCGCCATTCATTCGAACACTTTGCCGATGCTCCAATTAGCCTTCTATCTTCTTAACAAACATGAATAATTCAAAGGCTGCGGAGCGAACACGAGACAAAATACCTATCAATTACTGATTTTAATTTAAAAGAATCGTTGACAATGTACGAATAAGCTCGATTGGCTTCATAACGACTCTTTATGAATAAGGCGAGATACTTTTTCATTAAATCGATAAATCTAATCGGATCTATATATAATGCACGATCGAAATATCACTTTCGTGCTTTTGCGATCGACTTTTTAAATACAATTTTATCATCGGAGAGCAGTGAGAACTCTCGAAATCAATATGAAGTCACAAAGGATGAAATTACTATTGAAGTCGATTAGAGTCGATTACTCTGATCAATGTTATCGCTCAACTAGGGATTCCATTACGCGAACGTAAAAGATATTTTACCATCCGTCAAAAATATCTTCAAGCTCAAAGAATTCCATAATATCCATCGAATATATTTCTAAACTTGATAATTATCCGTTCTGATAAAGATTATAAATCGAGCCCGTGTAAACAAATTGTGTAACTTGGCTCATAAACATTGATATTCACGGTAGTAAAGAAGGGCTTGGAAAAAGCCAAAATTATTATCGCCCCCATGAGTATATAACCTTCTCCTGAATATTTTTCCCGATTCACAGCGATACGACGCACCGATCACTCCTCCCCCCGCCCGTCAAACCGTCGCTCTTCGAGAAAAAACCAGGACAAGAAATAGCCCTCCGTCGTAGCCGCAAGATGGGAAATTAATTTCCACGTCCACGCGATTATTAAATATCGTCATACAAGTAACATAGTACCGTGGCAATTAAGCTTTGAAAAGTAGGAAAATACCGAGCCTCGTACGTCACTCCGACCTCCTCCGAATAACGAATGTGCGGCGCCAAGCATCGGCATTCTTTCCTCCAACGGCCCCGACGATTTCCTCCTTTACTTACACGAGCATTATAACGCACATCCGATATAACGGCAATGAAGCCACGTCGTCCTCACGAGTGATCGGCAGTGCGACGGACCTTGGGCCGAAAAATTGAGGGTGGGTGGAGTGTATGTGTTTGTATCCACCTATTTGTGTGTGCGTGTGTAACGAGGGATCGAGCGGCTATAGGCTACGTACCTTGTCGACGATGACGGGCATGTGACCCTGGAACTTGACCTGACGGTCGCGGGCACGCTGCTTCCGCTCCCAGCGCCTGCGCGAGGGGATGATCCCGAGGGCCTCCTGCTCGCCGAGGGCTGTGACCCTACGCGCCTGCCACCACTCGTCATCCGAGGCATTGGTCACGTGGAGGATTTCGCCGTAGCGGAAGGCCAGTCCGTGAGACGGCAGCCCGTCGTCCTTGTTCGGGTCGTAATGGAACAGCGTCCTTCGGAATGTCCTCGCTTTAGTCGGGGCGCTTTAGCCGGCGGGCTTGTTTTTTTTTTCTTTTCTTTTCTTTGCCAACCTCGCGCCTTTATCAAAAGTGTCGCGCGCATCGCACGAGCATTGCCATCGTGAAGGGCCCCCCGACTATTGTTACGTCGCGCCGCGATTCTCAAGCCGTATGAGAGGATCCGCCTCTCCTTCCTTATTTCCCACTGGGTACGGGAGAGGGGCTCAGCCCTCCTACGCGAGACCATTAATCAAGCGGCATCGGCCGTTTCTACGAAGCCGTAGAGAGCGCCCTGACGCTCGATCTGGTGCTCTGCACGCAACGAGAATTTTTACGAGATCCATTTCCTCGGCTTGTGTGCGCCGATGCGATTTCTCTCGACTGAAAGTCACGTCGATTTAACGCGGCCGAACTGTCCGTCCGCCCTTTCGTGCTGCTAGGCTCGTTCATGCCCTTACTTAACGTGGCCGAATGTTGGCAAAATTTTTGGTTCGCAAGGATCATCGATCGCTTTATTAGCTTTTTATTAGTGCACGCGATGAAGTTCAAGATCTGAAAATTTGGGAAACACTTGTTGAGGCCTTTTAATAAATATCTCAACACAGTTTTAACCCACGAGTTGAAGATGCAAAAAAAAAAAGAAAGAAAAAAAGGACGAGGCGGAGCCACTGAAATGTTTGTTGATGTAATCGACAAATAATGTAATCGAAATTCGACTAACTTCATTCGTAATATCGGGGCTATAAGAATGCCGTGGCGAAGATAATATAGGCTTTATTTAATTTTGGCAAACAAAGCAAATAAAGTTAAATGTAATAACAATGAAAACAGCTCCGCATCGGGCAAAAAGGAAATGGTAAAATTTTTGTCTCCTTACTTAACGTAAAGGGTTTTCTTTTGCGAGGTCCTCATAAGGCTGCCTGTCATGGAAAATTTGATGAAAAAACTCCGCGCTTGGTTCGTTTACGATGAACCAAATGTAAATCAAGTTGCACTTGGCGGTGATTCCTGCAAATAAACGAGAATATTACTTAATAAAAATAAAAAAATATAATAATAAAAAAGAAAATGAGCTATTTGAATAGTCGTTTGAATACGTGCAAATGCAGCATTATAGATTATGGAAGTGTTTTATTGTCGCAAATGGCTATCGGGAATTTAATAATACGTAATCGCGTCTCACCATCTTCGTCCTTATAACTCCGAGACTTCACCTTAACCTTGCGCATGCATACTTGGGACATTTTAAAAATTTATCGTACTGGGAAAAAAAAAAGATAGAAAAAAATTATATAACCTCGAGCAGGTAGAGTTTAACTTCTCTCGGCATTAAATTAAAATTTATTCATTCGTGATCGCAAATACACTTTTTTTTCACCATAAATTACTTATGAGACGACGAATGAAAAATTGGTACGTTTTAAATTTGAGTTTGGAGTAAACAAATGAGCGCTCTCGTTATGTTGTACGAGATGATGTTAATAGCGATTGGAAAAAAGTCATTTCAAATTCTTGACGCTATCGGCTTAATCCAAATGAACGGATAAAGTACGATTTCTCGGTAAATTTTTCAAGCGAACCGGTTAGCATTGATTGGGCATTTCAATTTTCTTATTTATACCTTGGCCTAAGCATGGAATAAAATTGATATTCCCACATTATTCGAACGTTGCATAGATGATGCGCGATGGATTGGAATTTGATTGGAATCGTCTCGCATCTGCAGTTTGTTCGAAGCAATTCTAAAAATGTTATCGCTTTTTATAACGATAAATGCGGATAAAAGCAGCGGAATGGGGCGAGGTAGAACATTTTTCTTACGATGAGCAAAACAAAATTCATTGCAATTTCGATCGTGAGTGAGAACCCTTGCGATACAACGCAATAAATAAAAATCGAGAATGTTTCTCAGCTCGATAAGCTGATTAATCCCACAAATCGGACATTGAAAGGAAAATGACAATGTGAAAAAAACGGTTGCATTAAGTTGCATGAAGAGACGCGTTAAATAAAAAAAAAAGAGTGAGTACAAAAAATGGAAAAGAAAAAAAATAAGCAACAGAGCTCCACAAGGCCCCTTGACATTGGCAAAACCCCATCGTAAACCACTGGATGGGCACTGCTGAAGTACTGACACTCGACCGTTCTTTAAAAAACATAAAAATTTTTAAGTGCATTTCGTTTCATTGAGAAAAGGATTGTTTTACGTCACAAGAACCAAAGTATTATTATTATTTTCGAAAATTTTCTCAACTCATTCGAGAGGTTTTTCTTCATGGTATAACGCTGGCAAAACTCATTACTTTTGTTTATTGTTAAATAATATGGGAGATGTAAATTATTCGATAAACATCGTTATTTTTTTTTTAACTTGAAAGTATATACGAAAGAATATATTTTTGTTATAGTATAAGATATTGTAAATAATATCTGAGGGCAATGCAGCAGTAATATTGATGTCGGTGAAAGTCAACGTTCATTTAGTTAACATTTTCCATACTTTCGTGCATTCTTTCTAAAGTACGCTAAATTTTGCCAGGCAAAATTGATCGGAACAATGAAAGCTCTGGAGAAAAAAAAACCGTTATCCAATTATAAACACATTTAAGGAAAATTAAAAAGCTTAAAATCACGTTTCATTATTATGCTGGAATTTCCATTAATGCTTAAAGTTTGAAATTATATGATTACCTTTGGTGTGCACAGAAAATGAAGTACATTAAAGAAACGTAATTAGAATTTATTTAGAGTTTGATAAGTGTTCGGTTGAATCGTCAACTTCCAAATACAGATCTACAGAATTATTGTAGCTGACCTAAATAGCATTCAAAGGTTTTGCTGATACCTTTTAATAATTTGCATATGTAGGGACGAGCGCAAAACGATGTTTACAACTCGTAACCATTCGATTTTTATTAAAATGAGCGGCTTTATAATTATCAATTTAGTGTTGATTACTGTAGAACATTTCGTGTTGATCGAGCATGTACGTATGGATGTATGCGTTCTCTTGGTATTACATAAACGTTATGTTGAACTTTATTACGAGCGTTTCTTATCCTATCATGAAACTGTAAATAAGCCTTTATTTGTATTTCTTAACTCTCGTGAACGATTCTCTTCGACGCGTGCGATATTTTACATTTTTTAGTATTTAACAAAAATGCAGGGTTCGAATATTTGTTTAGATGTGCCAGTATTGATAGGCCTATCCATTGCAATATTTAATTGTAACTAGGAAATTTTTGTTTTTGTTTTTTTTTTTTTTTTTGTTGCTTTCTTTCCTGCAAAACAGGGTCGATATATTATTACAGATTGTTTTTTTTTTTAATCAAACTCCACATTTAATTACATTGAATTTATGTGCAATTAGAGCGAGGAATCCTGGCATTCGATCGATAAGCCGCAAACTTTGTGAGGATGTTTTTTCAAAATTTTCATTAGCACAACTCGAGATCCCGTGGGTGTAGCAAAATTTCTATACCCTTCCTAAGAATAACTGTACACTCGTTTTACATTATAGCCGAGCATTGTAATTCTATGCTCGAAATGCGTGCACTTTCCAATTTATTAAGTGTTCACGCCGAGTTACGACTTCGTCATCATCAGCGACAGCGTAAGAAAAAATTACCAAATTGTAAATAGAAGAAATAGTATGCACGTTTCGATGAGGCTTTTCGTCTCCTTTTCTCATATAGTGTATTACGATACTCGATAATTAGCTTCAATCGATTACAAATTATATCGATTGCATTAACATTTTGAAGTTTTTTTTTTATCCTCAAGCATGAGAGATACTATCTAATTAACAATTGTCCCAAACTCGTGGGTTGCTCTATAGCGTTTTGAAAAAAATTCACAAAGCTGTCCAGCAATGGGCAAAATGTCGCGAACGTCGTTAACAATAATCGAGGCAATCGTTCGCCCGGGACGTGGGTAGAGCGTCGACGCACTCGAGTCAAATAGAACTTAAGGGCATTAAAGCTAGAGACGCGCATTCGTATCCATAGTCCGGCCGAGTGACACACGTCGTCAATATAACGAAAACGCCTACGACGGTTCACTGAGCGTCGCAGTAAATAAACGAGCCTTAACAATTAACAGCACCAAATACACCCAAATTATATCAAATCCAAGGAATACCATTCGACAATTCTTCACATCGTCGCCTTCCCCTGACAATTCGTCGAACGAGAAAAGAAAAGCTTCCGCGGCACAATAGTAGCCAAGTGTCTCTCTAGCCACTACATCATCCCAATCACGCGTCAACTTTTTAATCGACTCGGCACACCAAGTCCCGTCGGCGAATCTGCATTATAAATAATCGAATGGCTTCTTTTGGATAATCGTCCCCGATTATCAGCCACGCGCCACTATGTCCTCCGAGTAGAATTTGTGCCACCTGCGAAGATACCGCGCGAGCACTACTAGCAACACTACCGAGAGACTCGCGTCAGGAAGCCGCGCAAAGCCGATGTCGCGCGGGTTGGCAGTCGCGGAGGCGGAGGGACGGGTCTTACGCGGCTGTCAACCCCTGAAATGCGCACGCGCGCCCCACTTTTCCGGATAGCGCGATAGGGGTAATGGGGGGGGAAGGGTTTTGGGGGGGGGGGGCATTGAGCACAGCACAAATCGGCTTTCAATGGATGCGCGATAAGGAGAAGGGGCTGCGTTGATAAAAGCAGCCGCTCGACGAGAATCCGCCAGGCACGAGCTGGTCCTTTCATACTTTCGAGCGAACTTAGTGCTCCTGCGATTCTACTCGGGTTGACCTCTCGTTTTTGCTGAATAATTCGAATTTGCGAATAATGCCTGGGAGTCGTGCGACTAATAGCTCGAAATCGATGCGTTAGCGTTTTCTCAATAGACCTGCAATCGAGTTACATTCAAAGTGGCGAAGGTTTGAAGAGACATTCGGATGTCGAGCCGCGTGACCGCTGACGGGACATCGTATGGCGCGGCGGCGTTCGACCAACGTTATCGTTCATTTTATGTAATTTGATACTAAATCACTATAATTTGACGCGGCTGCAAAGCGCGCCGCAGTTCCAATCTTTAAAAGGATTTTCGATGCGGTTCGGCAACGGCTCAAGCCACATGTGTACGAGCTCGAAGATTACTGGAATACGGCGTTACGATATAACGCGGGAACGTCACACCGATTAGTCATGACGTCATGCTGCAACGCAAATCGCCTGCAACAACGATTCGTGGTAGCTTGACTCGCAACGCGAGCGCACGTTACGGGCGCAATTAAATGCTCGTAGAAAAATTGTGCACGAGCAATGGATGTTCACGGCGATGTTCCCTTAGCAGACAGACAAAAGTAACTTTTGGCTTAAGAATTACGCTAAGAACTAAGGGATTTTGCGGTAATGTCACACGACCGAGTCACTTGCATTCGGAGGATAATGAATAATCACGTGGCAATATCGCTAATCCGAAGAACGAGCACTCGAGTACAAGAATAATGCCGTCTCGCACACACGCACGCGCGCGCGCACACTGTAGCTCGATCGCTCGCTCGCTCCCTTTTCCAGAGCACGTGCGTTGGCATTGCCCCTTCTTGTCGATGACCCACTTCCTCGAAGCGAAAAGTAGCGTCCGCCCGAAAATACCTGTGACACCGTCGGTGTTCCTTTTTTTTCCACGGTGCCCCTAAGTGCGCCGCCATTTCCGGCCACTTGCCCGCACCACTCTACATGTCAAAATCCAATGTTACGTCGACTTCCTTGCCATCGAATGCTTTTAGATGACACACGAATTATTATTCTTGGGCGACGAGCGTGTAATTCAATGAATTTACGCTTGGTAATCTCTTTACACTTGAACGTGAAAACAGCGATTAGTATTATATCGCCTGCAGCAATAATAACAAAGCGCTAGATTTTTTCACGTGGCTAAAGTCAATATTTTTTGCTTATTTAATTAATTACATTTTTGCGAACGCCAACTGCCGTATATCTTGACAACAATGAA